GACTAATAAGATTTCTCTTCCTCTTTATCGCAGTTAAAAAAGTTAAAGAAAATGATAAAAATATCGTTAGTAACGCTATACTCGTTGCGTAAATGCGTACAGCCATAAACAACCGAACGAGAAACAGGTAAACATCTTACAAACGTAAACAATGGAAAAGATGCATATTCGCTATGTTTGGTTTGGTTTGGTTTGATTTGGTTTGATTTGGTTTGTTTTACGGCATGTCAACCTGAATATTTTATTTAATCTCGACAATTTTTATTGCTGGTAATATTTTTTTCCTTCATAAATCTATTTCTGGTAATATTTTTTTTTTTAAATGTATAGCTAGTAATATTTTTATATTTTTCAAAAATGTGTCGTTGGTATTTTTTTAAGTGTTGCTAGTTTTAATTCTTTCCTTCAAAACATTTCTGATAATATTTTTTTTACAAAGTATTTCTGGTATTAAAACCTATTTTTACACTTTCATAATATTTTGACCCAAGTTTGGGGGCTAACTATATACCCATGGCTGGGACCCTAACAGACGCTACCACCCCTCGCTAAGTTTGTATTTTATAATATGATACTAATATGTGAATATTACATGCTTTATTATTAGACACAGTGAAGTAAAACACCAGTTTTATCCAAATCATGTTTATTTTAAATACAGTATACATTTTGACTACAGTAAATGGATATATAGAGTCTGTCTATATTTCTGAGATGAGGTATTATGTACAGTATTTACATTAGTCGCACTATTGTCCTCATCTTTGTCGCCATATTTGTCACAACGTTTCGGCCGTTGTACGCTCCGGCCTTCTTCAGGTGGTTGGAATTTCGAACTGAACCCTTTATTTCGCTCACTGGGGTAGACTGTTCTAGTTCCACGTGCCATGTTTTGATGGATGTCAGTTATCAGTTATCTCCTGCTAATTTTCCCTCTGAAAGTTCTCCACTGCCTTAACCAGGTATTGAACTCACCTTCTTTTGGGTCTGTCACTGGATCTAACCAACGACTTTATCCACTGTGCCATGTGTCCTTGAGGAGTATGTGCTGATTCCTTAAGTTTACGAATTTTCCAAACTTAAGGAATCAGCACATATGCTAGGCCACAAAAATCTCCTGAGCCGACCAAGCATAGAAATAAATACAATATGGGAACCAGTAATAAGGAGTGCCCAAGAAAAGCAATGATAACAAAGTTGCAATATGAGCACTGGTAAAAATGATGCTGAAAATATTAGGTTTATAATACTCAGAAGTTCATACCCAGATGTCCTCAAGGCACAGTGGATAAAGGCGCTGGTTAGATCCAGTGAGAGACCCAAAAGAAGGTGAGTTCAATACCTGGTTAAGGCAGTGGAGAACTTTCAGAGGGAAAAATTAGCAGGAGATAACTGATAACTGACATCCATCAAACATGGCACGTGGAACTATAACAGTCTACCCCAGTGATCGAAATAAAGGGTTCAGTTCAAAATTCCAACCACCTGAAGAAGGCCGGAGCGTACAACGACCGAAACGTTGTGACAAATATGGCGACAAAGATGAGGACAATAGTCCGACTAATGTAAATACTGTAAATGGATATATAGTTTGGTTAATGGCGTAGCCAGGAGCAGACGCAAATTTTATATCTCTTGTATGTTGCGACCCGCTTAAAATTAGCTTCAAAATTAGGTCTTCAAAACTTGCATGATACGCGAGTATATACGGCAATAACCCAGCTACTACATAAAGCAACCATGCTGCCAGCTCAGTATTCATCAGATGATGACTATGGTTTCAGGTACGATTTTGGGGTCAAAGTATCATTGCTACTAATCGAGAGCCACACCCCTACAACCCAGTACGTTACGATACCATCTGAGTTGGTAGCGAATGAAAATGGAGCCTCGTCATCTATTTTTCTATTCACATTCACTTTTATTTTCTATGCTATTATTTACCCAATACAAGGCCCAAGTGCCACTGAAGGTAGAGTGTTTTTTAGGGACGTAAGATGAAGGGATAAGAGGTGCAGATTATCTAGAATAGATAACAGCTGCCACTGGACTTGAAGAGGTTACGACTGTAGTGATCGGAGAAGCATTCCCTTGGGAGTCTGCTCCACAATACACTAGCTCTTGGGAAGAAGCTGTCTAAGACAAACTTCCTACTTACCAATAGAATACAAAGGGGATAACGATGTGCACGTGGCCTAACGAGGCTTAACCGTAAAGGTTCATCACTGATAGAACGAATGAATGTAGCGCGTCAGAACTCTGGCCTTGGAGATAGCAATAGAGTCTGTGTTGCAGCGTGAAAAATGATTCATCATCCACAATTCTTTTAAACTCCTATACAGCTCCGGCCCAGGTATGGTAGCATTACTCTATGTGATTATCATATTTGTTCTTTAAACCATAAAACAGAAATTTGACCATTAGAGCTTGTTCATAAAAATGAAATATCAGTTAGGTGTCGTAGGTTCGTGGTTGTAATGTTTCAATCTTGAAAAAAACATCTGACCCCCCCACCCCCGGTACATAACCTGAAGCAAACATGTTCGTCACATTTCTGGAAATCCAACTCAACAGTGCGCTTACTTAAGCACACACGCCCCCGCGCGCGCGCACACACACATACATACACACACATACACACACACATATAGTGCACTGGGGTAGCAGATCATTATACAAACTTATATTGCTTGTAATTTCGTGCTATCACAGCTATTGCTTAGTTTCGTAAGTAAACGTAAACAAAGCAATTTCTAAAGAATAAATGGATTTTTATTTATTAATCCGACAGATTTTATCGCTTTAAACCTTGATTTTAGTGGGTGCTTGCATTTGAATACGGTGGACGACCTGTTTATTCATTAAGCAATATATTTATTTATTTTCGTCTCTACCGGCCTGAATATTTGAGAAGTCTTATTAAAGAAGAATGTGCGCTCTCCGGCAGGATTCGAACCTAATTCGCCCAGAGTGGAGAGGACCATCGTTAAATTCGAAATGCTTTAACCGGGTCGGACACGAAGAATCTTTGCTGATCTACTAAGGATGAAGAGTGTCTTTAAGCAAAATTCTTAACGTCTACTCAATCAGGAGTATTCACTATATATATATATATATATGTGTGTGTGTGTGTGTGTAAAGAGAGAGACATTTATATCGATATATGTATGTATGTATGTGTCAGAAACTTCATAAAAGTGTATGATATTTTTTGATAAATTATAAATTATATTTGAAATAAATTATTTTGTAACAATATTAAAATAACGAAAGTGAGAAAATCGGCTGTCAATTGCTAAAACAAAATTTGCTTTTAATTCTAAATAAATCTTTCACTCGCCAGTAATTTACAATAGCCTGATGAGATGCATTGATACGCATCGAAACACGTTTGCAGTTTTGTAGCGATTGTAATATCCAAAAATAAATAAGATTGCTCTGCACTGTATTGAGTCCTCTTTAAAACTGAAAGTTACGAACGTTGGAATTGTACACAGTTCGTTCCCATCTTACCGATATATATATATATATATATATATATATATATATATATATATATATATATATATATATATATATATATATGCATATTTCATTAAAAACGACGGACAAGGTACTGATCACAGCTCCATTAGAACCCATTTAAACACACACACAGATCTACCCGATTCCATTAGGAACATACTCGTAGAAAACACAAATATATTAACTGCATCCACCTGCAAAAAAAGACTAAAAATAATGGAAGCTTTAATAATAAAAAAGAAAAAGCCAACTTTTAACAATATAAACTACGAACAAGGCCACAATGTGCTAACCGTATTCGGAAATTAAAAACATCCCTACCACACACTAAGACATACACAGAACGCACACACTCAATTAAGCTGAAAAATTGAATCATCCTTGATAATGGCTAAAGGTATAGCCGAAAGCGCTTGGAAATATAAAACATTTGGACAGTTCTACACACCTTTGTCCAGAAAAAGAAAGCTCTTGTCAGAACACAAGAAAAATTAAATAAAAAGCTTAACAGTAGTACCTTGTCTGTCGTTTTTAATGAAACATGCATAAAGGAAAGATTGCTGCCTAAATATACAACTATATATATATATATATATATATATATATATATATATATATGACAATGGTAACGAAAATTCAACCACCGCCTCCGATGAAATACAATATTCATTCCAGCTATGTGAACAAATAAGGAGAGAGATAAAGAGCCTAATTAAATGAGAAGACCACCAAGCCGAGGGATTTAAGAAATGGTGAGTGAGAGGGAGAAGATTAACAGGGTGTTCAAGGGTCGACAGACGGAGCGCATGTGTTCCCCTTGTCGGTATGTCTTCAAGCTTAAGATCGTTAGAGTTAATTAATTGTTGAACGCAACGGAGCAGAATTATTTTGCTTTAGCTGCAGCAAAGGGTTGTCAAAATCTGAAAGAAACTGTATCAGTAGCAACACAATTGGAGCTCTCAAATGTATTTCAGATGAGACTTCATGTCTGATTTAAATCTGGGAAATTAACATTAATAAACAAGAGACTCGAACTAACAGACATGTAGTACTACAGGAGGTCGCTTAGAATGCCACGGACCGAATATATAAGTAACAACGAAGTTTTTGATTAAATTGAAACAAAAAGTAAAACTCATACTTCGAAGAAAAACGTATACATTAAGAAGAGACAGTTGAAATTTCTATTGAGGAAAAAGGGCTTAGAATATTTTATATTCGCAGGATTGAATGATTGACTTTTTTACGGCTTATCGACCTTTTATAGTTTATTTAAAGCCAGAAATTTTTTTTAAAAATTTTGAGTTAATAATGATTTACATGTTACTAATTAACACGTATCTGGGAGAGAAGAGGTGGGTTCACGTCTTTCCCCAAGTGTATTTGCGCATAAGTAAATTTAACGAACCCGACTGGAATTTGAACTCCGCTCTCTGATTTCCAGTTTCGAGACGTTATCCTTTACACCGTCCGAGATTGCAACACCTGGTTTCTCAAGCGGTCACCCATCTAGGTAGTGAACAGGCTCGACGTTGTTTAACTTCGCTGATCGTACGAAAAGCGGTGTTTCAACGTGGTATGGCCGTCA